GAGAGAGAGAGACTTTAAACATAGTCTCCTGGTGTTAGCATTTTACCATTTCAAGTGAGGCGTAGAAATTTTACCTCTCTTTGCATCTTTGTACCTCCCTCCACTTATAATGTCTTAAATATTTCCTGTGTATATATTGAGAACAACATCAGACACATTATTATTGCTTCAATCATCAAACATAATTTAGAAAACTCGTTAGCAGAAGGGTAGTCTACTGTATTTTCCCATGATTTTACTCCTTCTGTTGTTTCTTCCTTCTTGATGGTCCTTGATGTTCCAAGGTTCCTTTTTTTTTAAATCATTTTCTTTCTGTTTAGATAACTTCCTTTAACCATTATCTTAGAGCAGATGTGTTGGCAACAAACTCTTTTAGTGTTCCCTTATCTGAGTATGTCTTAATTTGCTCTTCACTCTTGAAAGATATTTTTGGTGAAAATACAGAATTCTGGTTTGTCAGTTCTTTTCTTTTAGCACTTGAAAAATGTACTTCCTTTTGGCTTCTGAGATTTCTATGAGTTTGCTGTCATTTGAATTGTTTCCCCCCAAAAGGTAATGTTGTTTCTTGCTTCTTTCAAGATTTTACTGCCTTTAGTTTTCTTATGTTTGACTGTGTGTTGGCATGGATTTCTTTGGATTTATCCTTTCTGGAACTTATTCTGCTATTTGAATCTGTTGGCTTATGTCTTTTGCCAAGATTGGGAAGTTTTCAGACATTGTTTCTTTGAACACTTTTTCAGTCCCACCCTCTTTCTCCTCTCTAGCATCTAGACTGGAACATATGAGGCAAAAAGAAAACCGAGTAAACTCACAGCTCAGTCATTCCTCAGGTCCGAAGGTCCCTCGCCAGTCTGCCTTCTTCTCTGCACCTCTCAGAATCTTATGTTATTTTATATATAAGGTCCGTGAGTTTTAGTTGTATTTCGTGGGAGCAGAAAAAAGTACTTGAACTCCACCTTTCCAGAAGCAGAAGTACCCAGTTCATTCTTTTTTGAGCAGAGGTCAGATCTCTTATTCAAGTACAGACTGTCTCATAATAGCTCATAACCTGAATTCACAAACATCAAATGCCTACAGTGTGCAAAGCTCTTATACCAGGCAGTGTGGAGAACACAAAGGTGGGCCGTAAGCCTCTCCCTATTTGTATTATTATGATTTTTTCATCGTTTGGAATACAAAGTGCATTTTCACAAAGGGAGAAGTGTTGATTCTGTTCTTAGACTCTTCCACAGCAAGGTGTAAAATCCTTCCACCCCCCCCCCCCCAGCTGCCTTTCTGTGCACTGACACATTCACACATACACAGAAACACAAGGAGCAGCTGACATCACAGTGTCACCTTCATTTAAGCATCGTACACATTTTAAAATATTTAAAAATGGATGTGGGTTTCTCTAGTTTGCAGTACTAATAACTTGATAGAACTGAAAAACAGTTTGTATTTATCTTCCATCCTGTTGTTTGAGGAGAAACAGGTTCAATCACCAAAAGGATAAAAGGGATGAGAGCCTGGATGGGATTTTTGGGTCCTCTAAAGAGTGGTAGAACTGGTTCTCATGATTACGATCACTTGGAAAGGTCACTGTTTTCCTTTTTATTTGTTTAACATGAAACCTGGCACATAGTAGATGCTCCGTAAAGACCGCCCTAGAGAGGATATCTGGGGGTTGGCAGTTGGAATAAATGCAAACTGCTTTCCCTTAGAAGGACATAGCTCAGCCTCCAAAAAAAAGTATCTTTCTTATTTTGTGTTGGGGGTGTTTGTTCTGTCTGTGACTCTTGATATTTTATTGATTTATTGTCTTTTATTTATTTTTTTTTAGCAAGTACTGTCCTTAGAAACCTCTTTATTACAAGCATTCTTCAACACTTCTCTACGCGCATTGCACAATGGCTATAGCTAATACAGCACTGTTCTCAAGGTAGCAAGCAAGTTGAAGTTCGTGTTTAGACCCTAAGCCCGGGTCTCGAGTTGACCTCGTAGTCTTCCCCTGTCTCTGTCAGGGCTTTGTGCCCTATAACTCTTAAAATTATTTTTTTCTAAGTTAAATATTTCAAATATTCATGAAAGTATCGAAGATAATGTTATTAACCTCCATATATCCATCCCCCGATGCCCTTTGTGGTGCTAGAGGTCTTAGCGTTGGCCAGGCATCTGGGGTGCAGCCCACAGGATCTCCTGGCAGTTGGCCTGGCCCCGCCAAGGGTGCTGGGAACAATGGGGCAGCTGTATCTTTTCCGGGGCTTTTCACACTTGAACTCCTCAATGGAAAGCTTGGGGAAATGGGACAAACAGGACTGTGGAGGGTCTGTTGGCTAGTGAGCTAATTAATTTTTCTTTTTGCCTGCTCTGTGTTTTTTTTACCACTGCAGTTTCTGCATGTGTAAAATAGGACTAATCATTCATTCATTCATCTATTTAGGATATGGGCTTTATTCTTAGAAGTTGCACTTAGGCAGTGGAAACGATAAATCAGTAAAAGAGAGAACAAAAGAGTACAATAGATTCTCTGGGAATTTAGGGGCGGGAGAAGTGCAGGTCCAGGAGGTCTCATGGAAAGGGTGGACTGGAGACTTCTCGATGTGGATTTGGACAGGAGATCAGAGGGTGGCAGAAACAGGCGACGTATGCACAGAGGCCCAGAGGTGACAAGAGCAGTGTGTGCCCCAGGGGCTCCGCTTTCTACTGCTCACAGGAACTGAGATGCCTAATAAGCTTACATCCCTAGAGGTTTTTGGAAGACAAGTACCCAAGTGTACGAACCTATTAACATCCTATCAAGCAGAGGAACTGATAAAAAAGGAACTGAAACGGGATGGGTGTGCCTATGGTAGGGAAAGACCCGTTAAAGTTGTAATGGCCACCTCACTCACCCCAGGTTGCAGGCTGCCGCGTGCAGATGTGCGCGCCACGTACCAGCACCTGGGGGGTTCCCAGAGGGGGGCTAAAACCCAGCCAGGCTCTGCCAGCAGAACTGGTCCAGGCAGCTTCTACCCCCGGGAGCACCTTGTTCTAATTTGCCAAAGGTACTGTGAGGGCTCAGAATCTGTTTACTTTTGTTTCTTAATGGTGTTCACATATCAAGGCCGAATATTTAGTGTCTTACTGTAATATAATTTGGTAAATGGCGTCTTGGGCCATCTGTAGGAGCTCAGTCAGTATTTTAAAGACTGGCTCTGGATCCAAAATTCAGGGGGGACATATGTATACTCTCTCAGTTCCATTTTTGCCTTCTGTTCCCCTTGCTACCTGCTTTAGGTTAGATGCTTAGAATCCCTCACACGGCGGGTGAGGATATGGCGGGTGAACTGCTCAGCCCCTGCCTTCCTGAGTGACCTGAAATGCACAGCTCGCTGGAGCCATCCCTGCTGCTTCAGTGTCAGGCGCTTCCTGTCCCTCTGGGGCTATCTTACTACCTGTGTCCTGCTACCCACTGTCACTGCTGTTGCTCCTGAGCCCTTCTGGGCCTGCTTCTGTGCTTCTCTTTCTTTCTTCCTCATCCTGGTTGGTTTAATTTTGGAAAAGGAGATATCCATGAGAGAGAAGGAAAAGGAGGATTTCAGGTAAAGAAGAGAAGATAATGAAGGGAGGAAAATTGGGAGTGACAATAGCTGTAGAGATGGGGGGGGCGGAAATAGTAATAAAAGCAACATTTGCAATTATAATGGGGGTGAGGTTGAAACAACCCAGCGTGCACTCGCAGGCAGGGCATCTCTGGCACCATCACCTGGCCCTCAGTAACAAGGTGACCTTGCTTCCCTCAGGTGTCCTCATGACTTCTCTCGCGGACCATGTCCATGATCCTTTTTGCCTGTGTGGTAAGGGTGAGGGATGGACTGCCCCTCTCGGCCTCCACTGACTTTTACCACACCCAAGATTTTCTGGAATGCAGGAGACGGCTCAAGACTTTAGCCTTGCGTCTGGCCCAGTATCCAGGTCGCGGTTCTGCACAAGGATGTGACTTCAATATACAGTAAGCAAGCATGTTTGCTTTCCCAGAACATCGGCAAGATTTGGGTGGCTTTTAACCATATGGTGAGGTAACGTTATGCTGATCACGTTGTGTGTTAAAAGTAGATCTAACATCAGACTGTGGTCTGAGGTCGTGTGCATTTAGAGTCGGGGGGCCCCCAGCATTGCTGCTCGAATTCTCGGATTTGTTGGTGGAGTGTCTGTGAGCATTGGGTTCAACCAGTTTTATGCCTTTAGTTTGGTAGTTTTTTTCTGCACTAGATGTAGGGGTGGAAAAAAGGTGAGGGGGGGGGAGAGAGACCAGATTTAAATGGAAGGAAAAAGAATGAGAATGAGAAAGCCAAGAAAAATAAGAAAAAAGACTTGACTTATAGTTATTGCCTTTAGGTTTTGCTTTTAAAAATGTTTTCACTTTAAAAAAATGTTTTTAATTAAAAAAATTTCGTGATGTGACAGGAGCAGGGCAGTGAAAAATGAGCACACATAAGTCCCTCTTCTCAAGAAATTTAGAGTCTAATGAGGGAACGAGAAATATGTAACTATACATAATAAAATGGGGAAAATTCTCCAGTGAAAGTGAGAGTCAAGTGGTTACAATAATCACAGTAATAATAGCAACTGTTATTGTTTCCTGTGTGCCAGGCACTATTCTCAGTGCTTTCTGAGGTGTATGAGGTAGTCAGTCAGCAGTATTACACTTGTGTAGAGGAGGAAATGGAGGTTAAATGACTTACCCAAGGTTATAGTGTTAGTGGTAGAGTCGGGATTTGAATGCAGGCAACCAGGCACCAAGGCCTGTTCCTCATGTTTCATTATTTCTTATTCTAGGGCTCAGAGCAAAAAGCCATTCTACAGAGGGATCAGGAGCAAGGCAGGTTTTGAAATATCAAAATGGCTTGCTGTAGATTTTACATCATTGTTAGTATTTAGGCCTTCACTTACCAAGTCCCAAGGCCCTTTTGCTCCCCTTGAATAGCACATTTTTAGTGGACCTGATAAGGTGGGGTCCTTTTAAGGGAATTCAGTCTCAGAATCAGAAAAACAAAAGGAAAAGTCCAGGCCTGCCTCCGGGCTCGGTGGTGGTGCCAGGGGAATAGGGACGTGGCCTGAAGGGGGTGCCAGATGGCAGGCACATGCAGCTGTCACCCTGTGGTGTGGGCTGTGGGCTCTCAGGGGCAAACACTGAGCTGCATCTTCCATGTCTGCGACTCCTTTCTCTGGGTGCCGGAAGCCACCTTCCTCATTAGCTGTGACTATCTAACATGCTATGGGAACTTTGTACTGGACCTCAAATAGGAAGCCTTTTCTCTGTTAAGAAAAAAGCAAAACAAAAACGTCTGTAACTTCAAATGAGATTCTGGGTCCTTTGGATTTTTTGAAAAGTGGAATGAAAATGTTCTGCTCATTTGTATTTTGAATGAAATAGTCACCATTATTTTCACAGCGGAAACAGGCTTTTTTTCCCCTTACAGGTGAACAGTACCATAGCTTACTTTATAGTTACGAGAGTTGAATTATTTTCCTAGGGTCACCCTAACAAAGTACCACAAACTGCCTTAAAACAACAGAAATGTATTCTGTCACAGTTCTGGAGGCCAGAAGTCTGAGATGAGGGTGTCAGCAGGGCCGTGCTACCTGAGGCTCTGGAAGCATCTGCCGCGCCTCTCTACTGCCTTCTGGTGGTTGCCCGCAGTCCTTGTCAGTCCAGGTCTTCTGGAGGGAGCGCCTCGGTTCCATGGGCTGCTGCCTTCTGTCTCTGTGACCGTATTTCACACCAGTCATTGGATGGAGGCCCACCTTAATCCATTATGACTTCATGTTATTTTGATTACATCTGCAAAGACTGTTTCCAAATAATGTCATATTCACTGGCACTGGGAGCTGGGACTTCAACTTATCTTTTGAGGGGATGCAATTCAGCCCACAAAATAGAAACACTTCCATCCTAGAGGGACTTAGGCCCCACTGTAAAATTTCTTATATAAGGAGGTCATCTTTTTTTAAAAATCGAAAATGTTTTTATAGAGAGACTTCCAATTACACAAAGATGGTAGATTAATATAACCTAAAAACCCTCCTGGCAGAAACACCCAGAAATGTGGAGAGAGAGAGAGAGAGAGAGAGAGGTGTGTGTGTGTGTGTGTGTGTGTGTGTGTGTGTGTGTGTGTGTGTGTATGTGTGTGTGTGTGTATATATATATATCTATACATACATATATATGTATATATGTATATATATGTGTGTGTGTGTGTGTGTATAGATAGATAGATAGATAGATAGATAGATATACACATATATACATTCTTTTAAATGTGTAGCTGAGCTTGAAAGAAAGAAATCTCAAGGTGCCAGAAATGAAGGGGGAGTAGAATATTAAGGTGGTAAGTGTGTGTGAGCTGACGCTGAGGCCCCTGGTAACCAATCATAGTAAACTCAGGGCTTGTGTTTCAGAACCCTTGAAAGGACAGGCCTTTGGTGTTGGATGAGGTGTTGGAGTACGACCCATGCGTAAAGGAAGGGTTCTTGTCAGGCTACAACCCTAGTGGAATGATAGGTGAGAAAGAGTCTGCCCACCAACACAGGGGTAACGTGTGTCCACTTGGCTTTGGATGGGAAGGAAAAATCTCACCTAGGAAACAAACCCTGCTCCTGTGCCTTGTGTAGGATTGGAGCTTGAGGTTATATATACTTTATATGCCTCACGGTCAAGGAATTTCCAAGACAAAGTTCAAATATCAGCGTTGGTTCCGGACTGATGACAGTCCTGGAGCAGCTGGCCAAGCCCAAGGCAGAGCCCTCTGAGAGAAGTGTGCCACCTCCCAGACCTCGAGGGATTCTTACAGGAGGAAAGGCTCGACAGTGATGGGCACTCAGCAGAAATGATACAACACTACAGGAGATATTCCACAATGAGTGGGGGTCAGGAGGCACCTCAGCTCGGAGAACCAGAGTCCCTGGAACTTGAAATGATAGCGTGACAGCCTGAAAAGGAGTAGAAGAGGAAGAAAAACCCTGCATTGATTTTATGAGATCAGAATAACCTTAATGCCACAACCAGATGAAGACAGGAAAAATATAGGCCAGCCTTACTTTGTATAGACACGAAAGTGTGAAATCAAATGTTAGCAAACTAAATCCAGCAGTATGAATATGTAGAAACTCACAGCCACGAAGGTTTTATTTCAGGATGATTTAATGTTGGAAATCTATTGACGTAGATTAAAGAGGAGAACGTTTCCTCAAGAGATGTAGGGAAGCCCGAGGCTGCTTCTCCCTAATGGAACAGGCATCCTCACGCCTGAGTAAATAGGAGTGATCACACACTGTCACTGGCAAATGCTGCTTTCTTTGCACTTTAGAGGAAGTGTAAGAAAGGCACAGTCCCAGGGAGATCTAGGCAAAGAGACAATGTCTGTGTAACAAGCAGCTCCAAGGCTGTTCAAGGCCAAGCAAGTCCAGAGTTGAGGCAAGGTTGCATCTGGATGGGAATCCATGGGTCTGTTCCCTGGTCATGTAGCTGTCACCCTTTTGTTTCAGTTTTTCTTCTTCCGGGGATGTGGCCTGCATGGCGATCTGCTCCCGCCGGTGTCCAGCAGCCATGGCCTTCTGCTTCCTGGAGACCGTGTGGTGGGAATTCACAGCTTCCTATGACACCACCTGCATTGGCCTAGCCTCCAGGCCGTACGCCTTTCTCGAATTTGGTTTGTAGCCCTCTTTGTATTTACGCTTCTCTCTTACAGCATTGTATGTGTAGAATTATAGTTTAGACTTGGCTTTGACCATCAAGGAAAATCATTGGAGGTGCAATACCATGTCACTGGAGAACAGCCTTGTATCGCACGATTTCACACTGATGGAAGTGGCCCGGAAAGCTTTGAGGTTTAACACTCTGGCTTGTCATCTCTCCAGAGCCGGGACAGTGGAGGGTGGTGAAAGCTGTATAAGGTTACCCCTGGAGGAGGGGTCAGCCAACTGTGGCCCCTGGCCAGCACCCATTTCCACGTGCGTTCCTCTGCGTGTTGCCTGTGGCTGTTCTTGCCCAGCAGAGTCGAGTAGTTGTGACAGAGACCGCTTGGGGCCCATAAGCCTAAAATACTAACTCCCTCGCCCTTTAAGAAAATTTGCCGACCCCTGCTCCAGAGCTGTACTACTCAAAGGATGGTATGTGGGTTTGTTCTTCCATCACGAGGTAAGTACAGAAAGTGACAATAAGTGTTCAGAAATCCTTACAGTCATTTGACATCCCTGCGGTATTTTTGTGTTGTATTTTATCAAAGTATCAGTCGGCAAGAGTTTAGAATAAGAAGGTCCTTCACTGAGAGGTCGAGACGCACTGCTCTGGGAGGGGAAGGCGCTTTTCTAGGTGCTGCCAGAGAGGCCTTGCAGAGGCTCAGCGGCTTGGGGACCCAGCATGATAATTCGACTGGATATACTCTTTTTCTCTGGTGTGATCCAAGTCATTTTGAACCCTTGGGAGCACAGGTGGACTTGGAGGACACGCTGCGGTCTCTAAACAGCTATGGTCCCTGTGATGCTTTTGAACCAGGGCCTGGCAGCATTTGGTACTACGTTTCCGGGGCAGGACCAGCCTCCGGAAGTGTTGCCTGCCGCTTACGCTTCCTGGCAACTACTGCCACAGCCCTCCTGGTCCCTCCTGTGGTCCACTGGCCAGCGCCTCAGGGATCACAGGCCCAGCGGCCACTTTTGGTGTCACCTGAAGGTGCTGGTGTGCAGGCGCCAGCCTGGTAGACCTGTGACATAGACCGAGAGTCCTGCCTCCGAGCCTTCCTGTGGGGCCCCAGTCAGACTGCTGCTCTTGCTCTCATCCCACTTCTTCCTGTGAGAGGGCGTGCTGTCCCCAGCCAGGTCTCAGCTGCAGCACCCCGCGGCTGCCATTTGCTCCATACCTGAGGGACCTGTGCTCTCTCCCCTCATTAGTGCATGTGCCTTCCTTCTAAAGTGGTGTGCTCGGCCTTACAGGACGCCCTTCCCCAGCAGCCTGATTCCTCATTATTGATTAAGAGGAGAATGTGAGAAGAAGTGCACTGATACTAGAATTATATGATTTTGCTTTGCCCATGTGTATAAAACTTCACATCAAATACTTATTAAAACTTGGCAATGGATTAATACTAACATAAATGAAAGAATTAAAACCAACACCTTTCAAGTATATGATCCTAGTTTGCACAGCATACTCATGTTCAT